AGCTCTAGTTTCAGATTTTTGAACATAGCGCCCTTCGATACCTTGTGCAAAAGATGCGCCTGTTTCTCCTCTACAAGACCTATATAGTCATACCCCGTGACACCCCTCATTATTTTTCTCTAAAAGCCATCGAATAGGCAAACCCCCCTGTTTTTAACAATTTTTTTTCAAATTTTGAGCTCAAGTTTCTGATTTTTTAACATAGCGCCCTTCGATACTTTGCACAAAAGATGCGCCTGTTTCTCCTCTACAAGACCTATATAGTCATACCTTGTGACACCCCTCATTATTTTTCTGTAGAAGCCATGGACTAGACCAACCCCCCTGTTTTTAACAATTTTTTTTTTAAATTTTGAGCTCTAGTTTCAGATTTTTGAACATATCGCCCTTCGATACCTTGCGCAAAAGATGCGCCTGTTTCTCCTCTACAAGACCTATATAGTCATACCCCGTGACACCCCTCATTATTTTTCTCTAAAAGCCATCGGATAGGCCAACCCCCCTGTTTTTAACAATTTTTTTTCAAATTCTGAGCTCTAGTTTCCGATTTTTGAACAAAGCGCCCTTCGATACCTTGCGCAAAAGATGCGCCTGTTTCTCCTCTACAAGACCTATATAGTCATACCCCGTGACACTCCTCATTATTTTTCTCTAGAAGCCATGGAATAGGCCGACCCCCCTGTTTTTAACACTTTTTTCAAATTTTGAGCTCTTGTTTCCGATTTTTGAACATAGCGCCCTTGGATATCTTGCGCAAGAGATGCGCCTGTTTCTCCTCTACAAGACCTATATAGTCATACCCCGTGACACCCCTCATTATTTTTCTCTAGAAGTCATGGAATAGGCCAACCCCAATTTCTGTAAATGTGTATCTTAGTTCAATTAAACAATGACATCAAAGGTGCCGTATTTTACAGGGAAGGACTACTTTTACATACGTTCTAAATGGAAGTGGGTGCATTGGTGGTTTTACACCTACAAATAATCCGTTGACAGATACAGATTTACTGTGGTACTGAATATTAGCCTAAAAAGGGATGTGACTTGTTTTATCAATGGATGGGATAAATACCATTTCATGATAGAGTTGAAATTGCAATATTTGGACGGAATGTCTGCCTTTTTAGATATTTTTCATTTAACGGCCGTTGCTGTCTTATTCATTTTTTCGGTTGTTAGATATATCGCCTTATTGTTCGCTGGCTTATTGTTCGCTAGTTATTGTTCGCTAGCTTCAGCCTGGTACCCACTTGGTATTAATGTCATACCCCGTGACACCCCTCATTATTTTTCTCTAGAAGTCATGGAATAGACCAACCCCCTGTTTTTAACAATCTTTTTTTTAAATTTTGAGCTATATAGTTATACCCCGTGACACCCCTCATTATTTTTCTCTAGAAGCCATGGAATAGACCAACCCCCTGTTTTCAACAATTTTCTTTTTTAAATGTTGAGCTCTAGTTTTTTTTTTTGAACATATCGCCCTTCGATACCTTGCGCAAAAGATGCGCCTGTTATTCTTCTACAAGACCTATATAGTCAAACTCCGTGATACCCCTCATTATTTTTCTCTAGAAGTCATGGAATAGACCAACCCCCTGTTTTTAACAACTTTTTTTTTAAATTTTGAGCTCTAGTTTCAGATTTTTGAACATAGCGCCCTTCGATACCTTGTGCAAAAGATGCGCCTGTTTCTCCTCTACAAGACCTATATAGTCATACCCCGTGACACCCCTCATTATTTTTCTCTAAAAGCCATCGAATAGGCAAACCCCCCTGTTTTTAACAATTTTTTTTCAAATTTTGAGCTCAAGTTTCTGATTTTTTAACATAGCGCCCTTCGATACTTTGCACAAAAGATGCGCCTGTTTCTCCTCTACAAGACCTTTATAGTCATACCTTGTGACACCCCTCATTATTTTTCTGTAGAAGCCATGGACTAGACCAACCCCCCTGTTTTTAACAAATTTTTTTTTAAATTTTGAGCTCTAGTTTCAGATTTTTGAACATAGCGCCCTTCGATACCTTGCGCAAAAGATGCGCCTGTTTCTCCTCTAGAAGACCTATATAGTCATACCCCGTGACACCCCTCATTATTTTTCTCTAAAAGCCATCGAATAGGCCAACCCCCCTGTTTTTAACAATTTTTTTTCAAATTCTGAGCTCTAGTTTCCGATTTTTGAACAAAGCGCCCTTCGATACTTTGCGCAAAAGATGCGCCTGTTTCTCCTCTACAAGACCTATATAGTCATACCCCGTGACACTCCCCATTATTTTTCTCTAGAAGCCATGGAATAGACCAACCCCCCTGTTTTTAACACTTTTTTCAAATTTTGAGCTCTAGTTTCCATTTTGTGAACAAAGCGCCCTTGGATACCTTGCGCAAGAAATGCGCCTGTTTCTCCTCTACAAGACCTATATAGCCATACCCCGTGACACCCCTCATTATTTTTCTCTAGAAGTCATGGAATAGGCCAACCCCAATTTCTGTAAATGTGTATCTTAGTTCAATTAAACAATGACATCAAAGGTGCCGTATTTTACAGGGAAGGACTACTTTTACATACGTTTTAAATGGAAGTGGGTGCATTGGTGGTTTTACACCTACAAATAATCCGTTGACAGATACAGATTTACTGTGGTACTGAATATTAGCCTAAAAAGGGATGTGACTTGTTTTATCAATGGATGGGATAAATACCATTTCATGATAGAGTTGAAATTGCAATATTTGGACGGAATGTCTGCCTTTTTAGATATTTTTCATTTAACGGCCGTTGCTGTCTTATTCATTTTTTCGGTTGTTAGATATATCGCCTTATTGTTCGCTGGCTTATTGTTCGCTAGTTATTGTTCGCTAGCTTCAGCCTGGTACCCACTTCCACGTTTTAATTTCATCCCAGCGGTCAGAACTTCGTCTCAATCTATTAGACTATTGAAGCGCACAATGATCTTTCTCTTCTCTTTCTCTCCCTTTTTTCCTGGTAGCCTATGCACGGCTTGGAACAGCATTTTTTCGATGCGCTCCTTAGATATCTCTTAAGTTTTTTCAAAGAAGATCCTGACAAGTAAATCGTTCACTTTTGGCATCTTGGCCAAGGGGGTTCCGCCCACACCTCTTATCACCAAGTTCCATTTTCGGCCCCAATACTCCAGCATTAAACGTTCTTTTTCTTCTGCTGTGTTTTTCCCCTCAATATCAGGGATGAGTGTGTTGTGTATATCTTGTATACTATCATCCATAAGTTTAGCATGAGAATCAAGGTTTTCTACATTGTCCCTTATTACCTTGACCTCTGTTTTCATAATTTCGACATCCCCCTCTAACTTAAGGTGCTATCTTGCCAAGCATTCGGACACAGATTTTGATTCATACAGTTGTTTTAATGTCTCGTACCTTTCGTGTTCCCATAATTATCAACCGTAGCAGTATAATATGCAAAATTGACTATCGACTCGCGAATCTGTCTCCGACTACTGACATCTGTTTACACGGGAAATGGATTTCGGTCTACTTGAATGCTCTTTTTAAAATAACGTTTGTAGCAATGAAAGTCTTTTTTTATTAGATATATGTCCTTAAAACAGACAAAGTTGTTTCTAGATCATCTATTGTTTCTATATTAAGACCTACTCATAACTCACATAGACTTATTAACTAGTTTTTCAATGAAAAGGCGGAGAGTATAAAAAACACCACTTCATGCAATCTCCATGCTACCGAAAGCCATATTATACAACTTTATCTCAATTATATGAGATATTATTATGTAACTTTATTTAATATAATTATGCGTTAAAGACGTGTTTTTTGTACTAGAATTTCAAACTAATGGAACAAAAGAGTAAATGTTTCTGCCTAAAACCATTAAGAAATATTTAAGATGGTAATTGCATAGAAAAGCGCCAATTGACAACAACACACGATTACTATCAAATGATGTTTCGACAAACAGTTTTCATTATAATCGGACTAAATAATGACCTAACACCTTAACGTTCAATTCAAAGGATAGAATTTTTCACGAATATTAATATTAAAAGTGATACAGTTTTAGCCGATAACAGTTCCTGAGGAAAATAACATTGTCGATATTTACATAAGTGTAACTTTAATTTTCGTTTGTTTCGGTATTCTGTGTTGAATTTTGTTATATCTTATTTTTCAAGCTTTTATTGGTATATCGAAATGTGTATCCTTCATATCATTTAATAGTATTTGCTGTTGATAAATAAATGAATTATGATCAATCAATAAAGGTATAGTATTTTTCCGATTGTGCCTTCTTCAAATAAGGTTCATGTATAAATCGATTCTCTCAAGTGAGCCAGAAGCTGATACTTTTTTATGTTATCTGCGTTTACCACCGGTTTTTATTGAGATTCTTGTAACAAGTTCAAAATATATGATACCAAATTCGCTTTCCGTCCTTCTTTTTAAAAAAATATGTAGAAGAAATTTTCCATAATGATTTTCTTACACCCAATAAAAAAATTGAACAAACGTTAGATGATGTATATTCGTATCCACTGTAATCAAGAATTTGATGTGAAATTGGTGATAACATCGAGATGTAAATGATATTGTATATACATGATAATGGCAAAGTATTTCGAGAAAAACCGTACATACTAGCGGAAAGAATGGATAACAACTGTCATATTCCTTACTTGGTACTGGCATTTTCCACCTATTTCAACCTTTTGACCCCTAAACCATACTCTAGTTTGAACAATCATTTGCCGAGAACAAAGTTTTCTTTAGAGATAAGAAATAGTTTTCTAACACCGATCGAGAAATGTGAAAAAAAATGCATGAAAATGAGAGAAATCAATTCTCCTCAATTGAATAGGTTGTAAAATTGGTTGCAATGGGAATAGTATCGGAAAAAAACAAATCATCAAACATTATTGTTCTTCGAATGAGACTAACATTTTAAATTTTCTATATAAAAGACTATCCAATAAATCAAAAGCAAGCAAATATAAACACTCTTGAATAGGATGATATATATTTCTAATCGAATAAAGAAAATACAGTAGGATACATGAAATACTTAACAAATGTACAAAGACGTGAATGCAAATTGTAAATTACTGTTAATATTTTGTAGCGTATTTCAAATATTACTCCTCGCAGGATCAAGGTAATAGAACTTTTTTTCAAATATTTTCTTGTGTGTTTCTCCAACTAAATCTGTTACAGACTACAAAAAATATTGCATTGATTTAGTAGGGTGAAAAAATGTCAAATTCATGTCTTATGTATGTACCTTTAAATAAAACATGTGCATTTTCAAATCATTGATGTGAAGTATTCATTTATATGGGGTAATCGCATTTTGATACAAACCATTCATGGCTTAGAGATTGATCCAGAGAAGTTTAGTCTACACTGGAAAGATGTATATTTGAAGTTATGAAGTGACGCATAATCTATATGTTCTTGTGGAAGCAATGTATTCCAGTATACTCTCTTTTAATCCTTACATTAATACCTACGATGCTGATAAAGTGTTTTTTTAATTAATGATGACTGTTTGAAGGTGATAAATTACACAATATTAACATTTGCATTGTGCATGTTTCCGAGAAAAAAAACGTTGACTTTTTCCTTTAGCAGGAGACATAAATATAAGAAGATGTGGTATGAGTGCCAATGAGATAACTCTCCATCCAAGTCACAATTTGTAAAAAGTAAACCATTATAGGTCAACGTACGGCCTTCAAAACGGAGCCTTGCCTCATACCGAACAGCAAGCTATAAAGGGCCCCAAAAATGACTAGTGTAAAACTTTCAAACAGGAAAACCAACGGTATAATCTATATAAAAAACGAGAAACGAGAAACACTTTTGAACCACATCAACAAACGACAACCACTGACTTAGGACAGGTGCAAACAAATGCTGCGGGTTTAAATGTTTTAACAGGCGCCAACCTTCACCCTAATTTGAATGTAACATCACAGCATAGAAAACACACTATGAAATAATAATTGAAATGGCTTAACTCAATCAAAAAACATATTAACAAAAGTAATCATACACTGAACGAATAAATTTGATCTCTGACACAATGTAAATACAATATAAATAAAAAAAAAGGGGAGGACATGTACGTATACCCTTTCGACATGTACATTTAAGTTCGTACGATTGCATAATATTTTTTTTTTTATGCGTGTATATTTTTTTTATTTACGAGTTTATACTTTTCATGGCGGTCTCATAGGAGATTGTTCGCGTCGAATATAAAATACATCAAGGCTGTTGAAGACCAGCAAATAATGTTTGGCCGAAAGACATGGAGAGAACGAGAAATATTTAGTAAAACATAAATTATTACAATTATTCCGTTGATAAGAACCTTTAGATAACAATTCTTAAACTTTATCTAAATACCTACGTCCACCCAAAAATAAATTTCGTCTAAGTTAGAGATAAAGCATGCAGATAATCGTGGTGATTCTGTTTAATAGATTGCCAGACTTTTGACAAAGATAAACTTAATTCAGACATTCCATTTAACGTTTACACAGCTATTACCAAAACATCTATAAAAACTGACATAAATAAGATTTACAATTTAACCAATTGTACATATTTGAACGTAACAAATTTTAAGGTTTACCAGTGGTCTTGCGCAGTTTGTAAATAAGTCCATATTTTACACAAACGGGCACATCTCACAGTTTTGTCACAAGGTTAACATATATACGGTTTAACAAAAAACCAACAATAGCGTTATAATTTCGATGTACTAAAATGTCTAGCGATACATTGCGCCGTAATGCCAAAAAGGTGGGTTTCCCACAACTTCTTTCATTTAATGTGTACCATTTTTAATATTAAGTGATGTGACAATGTATTACATGGAGTTTATGTCGTAGTGTTGTTTAACGTTAAACAAAGGATAATCTTCAATATGATTTTGTTGAAAAGACTTGTTTGAACATTCATTATTTTAATTTGTTTTTAAAATATGATTATATTGATATAAACTGGTCAAAACATATCTTACCGTTGAAATTGTTTTCCAATACGTGTCAAATTTTTCTCTGGTGAATGTCGCGATTTCACTTCTAGCCATTTTATGACACAGCAATAACAGTTCTGATAATGCAGTGTATTCTTTTTTTTCAATATTGCAGTAAATTCTTTGGCTTAATAAAAGTTCTATCATCAAAGTTAAATTAAACTTTCTTGTATTCTGCTTGGCTGAAAATAGAAAAATAAAAAAAAAAAAAAACTACCGTTAATTATTTTCAAAATGTATATGAATACTGTTTTCTTATTCCTGGGAATACTGATGATAATACTCTGCTTTTGTTATATACATGTATAATTGTCGTCATTGTATTTTTTACAGTGCCATTTCCATACTTATTTTCCTTCATTATTTGATTTATCACTTCATACCTCAGATAATAGACATACTGATAACAATTATACCAGCAATACAATTTTGTTTATATATTTGTAGTTGGCTTATTACCTTTTGCATCCTTTTCCTGACACAACGCATCTAATCTAATCAGGACACAGCGTTCATTCCTTGGTGTCTTGTTCCTTTTATTATGCTGTAGTATATTCCTAAAATCGTTGGAACTCAAATCAAGGATTTTAAAGGGATGTGATGATGGGAATATAGAATCAAATTTAAAACGGACGGCTTGAAAAACAACCCTGTACAATAGATGTATTATTCTTAAGTGGTAAATTTCTTCATTCGTCATGGTCCTAGAAAAAGAATAAAACGAGTTTAACGTTAACGAAAATGTGATTGTTGTACCGATTCAAACATTCCGATTGTAGTAATTTGATTATATTAAGTTTACGCTTGTCCTTAAAAACACTTGGAATGGTAGTCATGTGCTCTAGATGAAAACCTGTGTAACGTCGTAATACCAGATTTCGTCACAATTGTTAAAGTAAAGATACAAATCCATTATACGGATAAAAAATTTGCTCATAACGAAACAGGATCTTGTTTGTCCATTAGTTGTGAATAAACTATCCTTTATTTCCATATTTTTATTTTTTAAGTTTCATTTCGATTAAGTTCGTAATAAATGGAATTTAATAGTTTGTATTCAATAATTTGATCATTGCTTTAAACCAATTTTGTTCCATAGATCTGTAAACGGGGGGTTTCTTTATAATGTTAAGCCAGCAATATAAATTTGTTTTAAACAGAAGAGTTGCTGCGCATAGCTGTAACCTTACCAATATGTAAAATATTTGGATAATTTTGGTATCAAATAAAAGCGTAAGTACATGGAATCGCCGTAGAACCCTTGTTGAAAGTTTTTCTTGAATAATAAAAAAAAAATGTTGTTCAGATCTGAAGTACTAGTACCTGTGTTTGTACTACCAAACTTTCGGGAATTATGTGCTCTAATATGCAATTAAAAATATGTTGAATTTTTCTGCACACGTCAGGATAAGGTTTACTTATGATATGAAATGACTGTCCTTTTAATTGAACTGAAGACAAAATAGCCATTGATGCTTGGAATTGCAGATTCAACATAGAAATCAATGGAGGTATGAATTAGTGGTGTTATTCCTGTAGCAATAAAGATTATTTATTATTTTACACTGATGCATTTAGGTATCCAATACTGTGAAGGAAGATCCATTTCTTCATCTTGAGTAGAAATTTCAAAGTACAAACAACAGACCTACGAGCTTAGTAATAAGAAAGGCTTTAAATAGGTGCATGACATTAACGGCACAAATTTTACTACGTAAGATGCACATATTGCTGATAAATAATGTTCAAAAGTGTAAAAATTGACATTTTTCATAGATGTTTTAACAAAACTCCGCAATGCCATATCAGAAACTTATAAAATACAAACGGCAGCTCATTTCATTAGACATAAACAAGACCCCAAAGTTTAATAAAATCTTTTTTTTTGAGTTATTGTCCGAAAATCGGAAAAATCCCCTTTTTTATAAACAAATTACCATTACTCGGAAACGTAAAATATAAAATTTATAAAAACCAAAAGCGAGCGTACGTCTATAGATTTAAATAATTTCCCAAAAGTTTCAAGAAAATTGGTGGAAGCGTGTTTGAGTAATTGTTCGAAGTGTCGACGACTGACGGACAGACAACCGTATACAATAATAAGTCCCGTAAACGAGGGTATAAAAACATGATATAAACGCTGAAGTGTTCAAAATTTAAACACGAACCTAAAGAAAGCCTAACCCAATATGGAATGAGAACTTTTAAAAAAGTAGAACCATTCCTTAATTTCAAATACTTTCTACAACTTTTAGTAGAACATTTCAATAAAAAAATAACTATATTTTCTACGAATTATAAATCGTACTCACCTCACTCTTGAAAACCTAGTTTCGTTTTGCATTTTTTCTGAAAACATATTAAAAAAAAGGTAAAAAATAAGCTGTATAATTTAGTTTTCACTGTAAAATGTTTACTTGTACACACCAAGGGGGATTCAACCCCTAAATATCATGATGGCACCCCATTGAAATTCCTTAGGTATTTTAACTAAATTGTGCTAGATTGTTTATACAATTGACCTTTTCATATAATTAAAAGTTAGATAATGCGTTATAAGCTATGACATTCTATTTAATTGAAAGCCCTTGACAAACGTTTTGCAACAAATAAGAGGATTGTATTAATATCAAATGAGATGTTGTTCAAGGGAAAACGTTTAAGTTTCCAATTAAATTGCATCCACTGAATAAGTTTGTCCATCATAAAAAGTATGTACTTTGTAAATGTTAAGACTGAAGTTTTTGAAATTAGGATTCAAAGGGGTTTTATAATTGTACTCACGTTGTCTATTTCGATTATAAACAGTGCAAACTTATGCGTGTTTTGTATGCTTTAATCGGTTTAAATTAATACAGAATAATTACACAATACATGTTTCTGTTACAAAAACTACAAAAGAAATAATTATCAGCAGCTGTAAAAATCCCATATATATAAATGAACATGGACATATAATGACGGTGAAAACTTACGTGCCTTTATATTGGTTTTACATTTATGATTACCTGTCAATGCTTTTGAAACCGCATCAGTAGCATCTACTTTATCATCTTCATTTGTACTGTAGTTGTTCTCAAAAGCATGTTCATTCAACCCTTGTATAGCCTAGAATAATTGAATATTAACCGTCGTACACAAGCATCACACAGGTTGGCACTCCGAGGCGGGTGGGGAGCCGTCTTGACCTTGTTATACAGTATGAATGATTCGTTCATTGTTAAAGACCCTTCATCAACTGTCAAGATGAAGAACAGGAATAAAAGCCCTGTTCATTGATACTTTTCTATGTTTTTATGTATTGTGTGCGATGTTGTCCCATGTACATTTACTCCATATCCTTTCATTTTCTATCTTTACTTAAAAGCATTTGGCACAATTATAACAAACTCTGTACATGATATAATCTGTTTTTCATGATATGCCTCGGACAAAATCAGAACGATTAATTACACGTAAAAATATTTTTACACTTCTTTCAAAATCTTTTTATTACCAGACGGTATTGTGTTCATTTGTGCAGACTTCATATATACAGTTTTAGTATTTTGAACTTAACATCCTTGTTTACAATATGTTTCTCCTTCTTTGTATTTTAATACCCTTTCTGCGTACACAATGAATTAAAGAAATCTATTTTTGAAATTCTGTATAGTTCAATTACGGTTATATTTATAGATAATACCTTGATTTTAATTCAATATACCAACACAATGAATACAAGACATTTTCTTTTACATATCGCATAGATTGAGTCTTAGTAATAATCATTCAAATACCAAGTTTGCAATCATGTGATGTTATTTTGACACAAAAAATAAAAACCAACTTAAACAGCTCCGACTACTATACATATTGATAAGGCAAATGAATAAAGATAATGCGAACTACCTTGCATAGGTCTTTCCATATTTTAGTGAACTGCTCATCAGAAAGTGTACCATGGTTATGATTACACAATACTGCTTTTCTGTAATATTTAATTTTGGATAAATTGGCAACTACTGTCCTTCTATTCGGCGCTGGTAGTTCATCTGTTATTTCGAACTTAGGTCCTATATTTCTAAGAAGGCAAATCATAAGTTGAAGATCGAGCTTTTCCGATGTTAAACTACTATCTGCAAGAACACACGAAAAGTTCATTACTTATCAGTTGAACAAATTATAATACGTAGTTTCAATATCCGGCTAAGATTAAAAATAATCAAGACATACGAGTTTTATTTGTCGTAGAATATTGGATATTAAATAAATGGAAAAGGTTATTGAAATAATGAAGAATGTGTTGTTATAGTTGTGATTGGTTATGGTACATACAAAGTACATGGACAAATGAAAAACAAAATCTATAACTGAGGCTTTATTAACTATAGTTTTTGAAGATCACTATTTGACATTGGTATATGTAGGGTTTATGATTTAAATATTAATGGATCACAAAGGATTTTGTAAAGACTGTCATTAATGGAGAGTTTGAATAAACTCCTACTTCATGAAGAATATGTACTTTTTTATGCCTTCCGATTTGATGACACGAAGCCAGCCATTACTACATATACGTATACAAAAAAAGAATTTTAATCTGTAATTAAAAAGTTGCATCAGACGTCAATATGTAAAATACATAAAACTATGTACAGTTTGTTTTACAATAGTAGAAAAACAGTACTTTCACTTTGTACATGTGTTGTAGGTTAATCAATTTATTGTTTTATTAGTCGAAATAATTTTTTCAATATTGTTTTTTTCTTTCTGTTTTCAAAATGCCTACTGTTTTAAACAGTAACAGAAAACAACCAATTGTGTCTTAATTAGAAGCATTTGTAAATAAACTCCTCACAGATACCAGTATAAATTAGAACCCATTTAGTTTGAGACAGAAAATCATCTATTATTTTTATTTTCGACCACAATATAAACATCCTTTAGAATTTTGAGTGAACAATTATTTCAGAGAGATTTGGTGTAAATATATATATATATATACCAAGTAATCGTCCTCTATAGTAAATGAATCGAAAATAAAGTCGTTTAGGGCATTAAAAATGCTCTCCCATCCTAGTGTAATAGCTGCGTAAAACGGGGGATTCCTGATGAAAACATCACGTGAATCTTAATTATACTAATGTAAATAGTTTGAAATTTGTATTTCATAGTTCGAAAATTATCTGTAAATAAATTAAAGGTTAATAATAACAACTACTCAAAAATACTATTTTAATAATTTTGAACGCCAAACACTCGTTTCGTATACATAACACTTCATTGTCGCTCAAATAAAAGCTCCTTGTAGCCCAAACCAAGTGCGAAGTTTTCGTAAAAATTGAGCTTTTATATACAGTAAATTTACAACAAATGAACAAATTAATAATATGTTATGCCAACACAAAAGGACTGACTAATTGCATGCTTTGGAAGGCTCTTTTATAGCATTATTACACTTTCACACAATTTTACCACACGAAGCTCTTTTAAAAATCTGATTGCAAACTCGTATTGATATTAAAATTAGAAGATGTGCTATGATTGGTAATGAAACAACTTTCCACCAGAGATCAACTGACTTAGGAGTTAGCAGCTCCCGTGAGTGACGTAAAAGGTAAATATGCTTGAAACACTTACTGGAACTATAATGAAGTGATTCAAGCAGTTAATTTCCGTCCTGAAATTGTATATTGTGAATTTTATATTATCCATTGGGTTTTACTAATTTTCGTTGATATCATTGGTAAAGGTGATTTTAACGTTTAAATGTTCGACGAACTCCACATTTCCTACAGGCGTGGAGGCAGAATATATTAGAAACATGAAATCAAGTATCTACAAAATCAGTTTTTCGTGTATACATGCAAATAAGTGGATTCACATTATTTATGTTCTACATTACAGCTAATCAACTGATTGTAAGTATTCCTGTGAAATTCAGTGTCGCAGCTTTAATAGTAGACCTGTCTTGTTTATGAATCTTAGTTCACGGTCATACTTGCAAATACCCGTCGAAATGCCATTTATAAAAAAAAATATTACCTACTATTACCTTGATGATATAATACTGGGTAAACTTACATCGCGGAAATGCTTTAAATTCGATAAATATAAATAGCAATAATTGTCCTTTTCTAGAATTATATGTGTAAATTTAAAATAATACATTACAATAAACTCATCATAAATACCAGACGTGAAATTGTTTCCACCAGACGCGCGTTTCGTCTTCAAAAGACTAAACAGTGAGACTCGAATCAAAAAAGTTAAATAGACCAAATAACGTACGAAGTTGGGAAGCATTAAGGACTCAAAATTCTGAAAGGTTTGCCAAATTTAGTTAAGGTGGTCTTTTCCTGTAGAATAAAATTCTTAGTATTTCAAAAAGTTATGCAAACAGTTAATTTATAATCATGAACATAATATCAATGATAATTCAGGTAAACACAAATGTGCGGACTACTTGGCTGGTGATACCTTTGGGGAGTAAACCTCCATCAATAGTGGGATTGACTAAGTGGTTGTCAATACTCATCACAGATTCCAGGCTTACAGTTTTGTACGCGTTTCGTCTACAAAAGACTCCGGTTTGCCGAATGCAATATACATGATATAAGAAACAATTTTTAGCTCACCAAAGGGATAATACTGAACCATCATAGGAATTCTCTATCCGGGATTTCCAAATAACATATCATAAAGAGTCATTACAAACAACTGGGGTTGTGTCGAATACTCGCGGAAACTCTTTCAAATTATTAGCATCTATATTATAGGCAATGCAAACAGGTCCGCAGAGTAACTGTAAAGCTACCGACTCTATGTCTTTGTGAATTAGATGTAGATTCTAAACATTTATAACGATTTGCATACGAAAATACAACTTAAGTATCTTTTTTTCTTGAAATAGTGCAAAAAATATGTCATGGCTTCCCCTTTCCCTAGTATCCTTCATTATAAACCGAATGAAAATTTGAAATAATAAAAAAAGAATGGTCAACGTAGAAATAAAACATAATTTGTTTAGAGAGCGATGCATCATACTTTGTAAAAATCAATTCTGATACAAGCAAAATATTCTCTGCAACTTACATCACCGTATTGCAACATATTTGTTTCATTCTGACATGTTTTTCAACGAAATATCGGTAATCCTATGGGAACAATAGTGTTAATTCGTCTAATCACCTTGTCTAGTTTTGTCCATGTGAGGCTTCATACAAGTGGCTTCTCAAACAAAAAGTGAAAGGGAGCTACAGATGTTCTTTAACTTTTTGTTCCGATTCATATACGATGCTATATCATTGAATAATCTAAAGTACGGTGACCATATTGAACACATCTAAATGCTCTTGAAATCAAGGACAGTAAAGTCTGGTTTATATCTTATATCTAGAAATTGACAACGAGCTTGAATTATTCATTAAACTTATATAATAATTATACAAACCTTTGGTTAAAAGATAAAATTGTGTTTTGGTAATTCGATTCTTTTGTCTGAGTTTTTCAAGTGTATTCGTATTTTTTTTGATGATGTCGGTCAGTCTTCCTGGATAGAATTCTTTATCAAAAACATGGCGAACAGTGGATACAGCTAGACATGTAACCAGGTGAACAACCAAAAGATAGTTTATTTCTTGTTTTGTTATTTTTGCACAATCTAGAAAAACAATGATTTGCAGCTTAAACACAAATGCTACCTAGTTTTTATTTATATTTTTTGTCCAGATTAAGAATTTCTGATTTTTTTTCCTTATAGAACAATATACCTGTAAGCGATGATAATGCGAAACAAGTAAACAACAATCACTTGACATAATCTTTGAATACAATTAAAACATACATGTTCCGAGAGTTCTTATTTGTTTCACATTAAAATCATTTGCATGGTAAAATTTATGCATGTCTATTAAGTAGTTCATCATTGAAAAAAACTGAAAACTGCATTTTGAAAATTCGAAGTTTAAATTAGAGTCATTATTCAAGCAGGAAGTGTCTTCGCTTCGATCGTATCTTCTGTTACTGGAATTTTCATTTTATTTTACTAATTTGTGGTTGTGCAGAGATTCTTTGACTTCATTTTTGCATTGCTTGAAAGATCAATCGTTCATTACAATCTTGTTATTCAACTTTTGTACTTTCTTAATTCCCTTTCAGAAAGAAAACAAATTGTTTTTCTAACTGCTGCAATGCAAATTTCTTTTATCTTTGGTTTGTGTATGACCAGAAAGAATTAAACAGTTTTACTATTGTTTACAATTTCTGATAAGGTTAGAAAAATAATAGATACAAACATTTAAAATTAAAATTAGCACCGTTTACATTATATCTAAAAGAGGATGTTTTGAAAACTCTATCATCTTAATAGTGAAGGAGTTTAAAAAGAAAAAAAACAACATTACATTTAACTTCTGATCGTGAGTAGTCAAAACATTTTTTTTTTAGCAACCGCAACCATTTGTTAATTCGAATTTTAATTATGTACCATAATAGTATGTAAAACTCTGACGATCAAAAGTGCGAGAAGGGAACTACATGCAATATATACATTTTAGTTTTCAACATGTTCAAGACGCATAATAATCAATTTCCGATTTACATTTTCAATAAAGATTGGAACTACGACAATAGATTTATTGTGTCAACAACAAAATTAAAAATTTTATGTTACCATTCGGCACCATTATTACAAACAACAAAACGAAAGACATAATTTGAATATTTTTGGTTGTATTTGAAATAGTATATTCGAATACAAATTCACGTTTGGTAAAAGAGTCCCCCTACAAGACACACAAAAATGCTATTATGAAAATTATTGATATTGACAAAGGTCATCTGCCGAGCCCAAAATCTGTCTATTTTGTATTATTTCATCTTATTCGCATCAACATCTATTTTTATATTTCGTATATACCCCTGTTTGTACAGTATCGACAATTTTATACGATCTGGTATCTATTAAATTTACCTGTTGTGTTGTATTTTTCAATAAATGTGATGTTTTTAAAAAATATTAATTATTTGGCATTGAAATTTTATGTACTAAGAATACGAATTTTACATTAAATATTTACTCTGCCTTTTTGCTCGACAGTTACCTATTAGATATTTAAAACATTAGAATGTTAGCGCAACCTTTTGAAAGTATCATGTATGAAGCAAACATAAAAATTCTCCTTTAATTATTTAATCAAATTTATTATGTATACCTGTTTGTGCGTATTCCAGTTCTGACGAAATAGTTGTTTCTGAAAACAAAATGGAATAAATCTTCCTCGTAATCATTGCAAAAGTTTCTAACCAAGTTGCATTATATGATTAAAACCACGTGTGAGAAAACTGATTAAATGTCTATCACTATCTTTAATAAGTTTTTACTTATTTTTTCATCTACTGTTTAAAAAAAAATAGGTAAAATAATGTGAAAGAACTCATAAGTATCTAACATATCGCAATTGCCTTTCTAATAACAGTGTTTTTAAAATATTTTATGTGTGTATAAAGTGTGTAGTGCTTCTCATTTATAAATTACATTATGTTTTGTTTTGTCTATTACATAGCTCATAAAAGCTTATGTAATTTGTAAACTTGCGCAAACAAGTAACGTAGTGATAATATGTGTCAAGAATTCGGGAAATGTTAAAAGTAATGCTTGTATTGTGTTGATTAAAAGCATTACTGAGATGTTCTTTTCTTTCTGAATTAGCAATAATGTTTACGATTCAACTCTTATCGATGTTGTTTCTCGCACTAACGACACGACATCGTATATCGTACTTACGACTTTCTATGTCGTATTGACGACATTGTATGTTAAAATAACGACATAAGTTCGTGGTAATACCAGCATCCTATTTTATAATTACGACAAGGCAAAATCTAGGTAAATTCGTATAAGAGTAAGTGTCCTGGACTATTTTTACGTATTTTTAAATTTTCCGCTTTTATCTTAAGAACTTTCAAATAGAAAGAACTATTAAATAACAGAAATCATCAGCACAAAGGAGGCTAAAGATAACAAAGGGATATTCAAACTAAAAAATTGAAAACAAACTGGCAATGCTATGGCAAGAAATGAAAACGATTAAAAGACAAAGAAACGTATATAAGATAGAAAATAAAAATTGAGCAACACAAACCCCACCAAATCCGGGGTAGATATCATGTGCTCCGGATGGGTTAGCAGATATTGCTTCACATAACATTCTAGTCTGATTGTGTGATTTACAATTTACATAAAGGCGAAGACATCTGAATATAGGGAAAATATAATTAAGACTTGGCGCTTCTAAATGACGATTGTTAATTCATTTCAGTCCAATTTGCATTAATTGCAATATCTATATTACAAAAAACCTATAATATGAATTGACCAAATTTTATGATTTAATAACGGATTTCAGAAGTGTTTTGTGTTCAAATCTAATTGCCGACAAACGTTTCTGTGATGATAATTTATCTAAGCTGTAAACGAATAAAAGCCCATACAATTATAATTTGAATTTGTGGCTCACCTTGGTAACAATTAGACAAAGAACAAATTAATTTTAAAAACGTAAATCCCCTTTAACTAATATTTAGCATTTATTCAGTTGTCGTTTTCAAATAGAAACATAAGGTTATTTTAAATATGAAATACGAAAGTGCTGTCATTATTAATCATAATCAAGCACTTGCGAAACCTCGTTTTGTTTCTCCTTTTTGAGGGAATGACCACCTTTGTGATGTGGTATATAGGGGAAAAAGGCTAGGGTTTAGGATATAGGAGGTTAAAAAAGAAGGAAAAAGCTGAAGTAAGAAGAGACCATTACAAAAAAGCTTTGTTTGAGAAATGAACACCGCATGTGACCCACTGTTTTTTGTGTCATTGTTTACAATACATTCCGTAAAAATGAACACGAATTTAGGAGGGCATTTTGAGTTTGTCAATGCGCTGGTACATTTAAAAATATATAGTTTACTTCACACAAGCTATAATTATAATGTATTATTCTCCCAAAATACACGACACAGTTAATTGAAATAGTCATATTTCCAACTGTGTGAATATTTTGTTAAAATTATCACAACAAAATTTTTCACATAAAACTATCTTGCAAGAACAAGGCGAATTACAATAAACAAAACATGTTATAAGTTTGAGGCACAATTAATTATAATGATTAGAATTAATTATAGCTTTAATCCTACTTGTACGTAAAAAAAGTCAAAGTTACAACACTAAATGAAGACTTAAAATTTGATCCATTTCTGCGAGAGGGGTTATGAGGCATTTAGTCCTACAAAATTTATCCATTCATTTAGATATCTTTGCCTTTTTGTAAAATTATATTGCTGATGATTTCAGCTGATTACAATTTCTTTCTTTTTGTAGTTCTTAAGATATAAGAGAAAAGTGCCAAACATGACAATATTTGTCTTATAAGAATTTGTCTAAATGATTCAGTCTCGTTCTTACGTCGTAAATTGTTTAAACCTTTCCCTAATAGGTTTCCGCATAAAACATCTGTTTTGAATGACAATATATTATTACATCGGTTGCAATAAATTATCGTAATTTTACAGAGCAAAAAAAAACAAAAAACAACCCAATAATTTTACATGTGAAATAAGCCCGAAAATATCACGCCTCTGACGTCATAGAACATTTGGTGTTGTCAAGACGTTGTCGATGACGTGACTTCAGAAACGATTATGAACTCATAAACACAGATATAGTTGCTTTTATTCCTACTTTGTTCATTTAAAAGTCCATAGTCAATGTAATCAAAAGAATAACTAATCAAAAATTCAAATATAAAAAATAATCAACTCGTGAGCGAACACAATTAATAATTTACTAATGATTTACGGGCATTCATGAATTATTTTGTTGTTCGGTCACTCGTTGAATACTTTTTTATAATTTTAATTCTTGAATTAGTGATTCTTTTATTAAAACTACTCGGGGGTATTGCACTATCCCTCGCTCAAATAATAACACTCTGTAACATATTTACCCACTAAGTCGTCTGTACTTGTCTGTTCATCTACTAGTCCTAATTTTAAACAAAACAAAAAAGTGAAACTATTTCTTTAATTTTAGTTAAGCTTTTGTAGACTGTTAAAATGTTATTCGCAACTCAATTCAATATCAAATATGTTATCTAGTTTTGGTGTTCACATCACATATTTTTTCGTTTTAACTTATTCACAACTTTGCAAGACCCGAATAAAACATGTTTTCCTTCATAATTGATATTACTAAAAGCTACATGAAAGTTGACCAAAATTATGAATTTGTTTTTGGATTGAGTCATGTAAAATCAAAATGCAAAATCCTTAAGGTGTTATCATATATGTTTCATACAGGTAAATTTGACTCTTAATCCGTAATCCTGGTGAACTAAATTGAAAAAAACATACCTGATAACTGTATCTTATTACAAAAGTCCTCATTTCCAGCCGTTAATGTTATTGGATGAAACTCATTAAGTCATTTTCTACCGAAGGAAATGCACGTACTAAGTCAGGAATATGACAGTTTATTTCCATTCGTTTGATATGTTTGAGCTTTTGATTTTTGCCATTTGATAAAGGAATTTCCGTTTTGAACTTTCCTTGGAGTTCGGTTTTTTTGTTATTTTACTTTCTACTGAACAGTTTTGAATTGTTTTACATTGGTCATTTCGGGGCTTTTATAATTGACTATGCGGTATGGGCTTTGCTCATTGTTGAAGGCCGTACGGTGACCTATAGTTGTTAATTTCTGTGTAATTTGGTCTCTTGTGGATAGTTGTCTCATTGGCAATCATACAACATCTTCTTACTTGTATATGAACATAGAATAAGCAGATCATTATTGACAACATGAGAAGTGTCTGACAATGTCTGAACAGTCCTAAATTAAATTAAATTAAGTCTGAAAATTGACAGAAAGACTAAAACTGCCTTAATTATTAGATGTTTTAACTTTTAAGAGCTGTTCAGATAAAAATTGGTGTATTAGTGATAAGCAGGTGAATGAATTGTTTGGCCATGTGACCTATTTGAAAGTAGTATTTTACTGACGTGTTTGAAAAAATATTAAAACAATTTTATGCTGACTAATGTATAATTTTGTTGTTTTACCTTTAAGGAAGTTTCGACCAATATTGGTCATGTTTGGTGCTGGATTAATTCATTAGATACACTTTTTTAACAAGATTTCCTTAAACTCATTCTGATAAATTTTGGTCACATTTGGCCAACTAATGTTTTTTTAAGTTAATGATGACCAACAACGATCAAGTGACCTAGTACGAAATATGTAAATCCAATCTTAGCTGTTTACTCGCGGATTCAAGGTTCAATTTGGATGAATAAAAGATAATAGACCTAGACAACACTAAATTAACAATTTTGCCAAAGAAACGATATCTAGGATACTAAAGCCGCCTCTAATTAATTGCTTTTAGTTTTGTACAGCGATAACTTTTAGAAGTTCTCGACTTTCCCTACAAAAAGGCATCACGTTTCAACAGATATTATAAATACGTTCAAATTATTGGTGAAAAATTACCAACATATAGGTTGTTTTATTTGGATAATTATACAATAGTTACCAACCCACCAGCACATAATCATGAACAACCAGCACCAAACAGGACTAAATCATCAGCAAAACGTCAGGTTCCCATCAGCACAGATCAGGGCGAAATCACTAGCACATTTTAAGGACCCATCAGCATCGATCAGGACCATATCACCATCACTTAACATTCTCACACAGAAATCTTTTTCCTACCATAAAACATATTGTCACAGAAGAAAGGACTACAATTTTATTGAGGAAAGAACAGAATGTCCTGTGGTTATCTGTTAATCTAACATTGCTCTAGCAACATAATGGAAGACATTTGTCAATTGTGGTGTTAGCCCTGTATAACCATACATGTATGTTATTCAATGGCAAATGCTGATAGAGTTGTCAATCTAGACATATTGAAGGGTATATATTTTGGCATAGCATATTACCTTTTTCGGTGTCAATTTTGTTCATTTGATATCTATCCTGAACCTAGTTACATGATATATAATGATTTGTTTACCTTTCAAGTATTCTTTACTTGTACACTTATCTTCTGGTTCTGTAAATGGAAAATGAAAGTACGAAACTCATCGAATATCTAACAGATGACCGACTAGCCGGTAAGGTTAAAATCTGATTACAAATTTTCAGAAACAAAGATTTGTAAATTTTCTGGTTTTCCTGAAGGTAAACTGAAAAAATAAAATGATCTTGCCAGATATATAGATGAGTTATTAACATCAATATATATCCAATTGCAAATTGGTTGCACAGAGCATTTATTAAAACTAAATGTCTGTAATAGTTCGCTTTGAAAATGCAAGTCACATTCCTATATTTCCAACATGTTAATAAATACACAAATATCCCTGAAGTCACCAAATTAATTACCTCATAAGAAACCTTTTAAATCTCAGCTTTACAGCAGACCTCAACAAAAATATGTTTACCTTCAATGCTTAAAACTTTATTCTGTATTTTGTTTATCATCTTTTTAAATATCTGTTAAAACTAATATAAGGATATTAAATATAGTATAAAGGGTAAATAATCATCATAAATTGAACGTAAGCTAAAGTAGGGCGTTATTTTGGCTGTGGGGAATGAATAAATACAGTTACGTCCGTACGGATTGGGGAGGTTAGATCTTAATTATCCATTGTTAAACTTGCATATTTGTTTCCATCCAAAACATATATAAAATATTTGTCACTGGACTGTTAGCAAACAACAAACATCTTAACTGATCTTAATTGTACAATACAGTTAAAACAAATAGGTACCGATGTATGTGAAGTTAGCAGCCGTTTCGTTATTCGTTATTCGATATTGAATATCCAAACCGACATTCAAATTTTCTAAGTTAAATATAATTAAAAATTAAACATTCGATAACATTCAAAGTACGATAGTTATTAGTTAATATAACTGTATTTTTTATAAGAATTTTTTTTATGAACAATTCAAGTTATCGTAAATAGTCGTTGTCCTCAAATATAAACTTTTATGTAAATTGAATATTTCTCTGTATGACCTATAGATTTTTATCAAATAGAATATAATCAAGAATGAACATTTAAAAGATGATATTTCAAGAAACAAAAAGAAACGGTCCCTCTATTAAGATTTAAAAACATAAATAGAAACAACTATGGAAAGCTAAAAAAAATATATTTTCGATTGAATAAATATTCAGCTATATCCAGGAAATAGGACCAAGGGGTTGGCTAGATCTTCCTGATCTCTCAATCTTCATAATATTATGTATATAGTTAGTTAATTTATAGATATAAATGTTTGAGTCATTGGATTACTCTCACTAAAAGGTAACTAAATTCTGTAATGACCCTGTTTTTTTCTTATTTGTATGAATTCTGTCCTTACATTTTTCAAAGTATTAGTAAATAGAATCTTAACCTATTGAATTTGTGTTAACATATTTTTACATTATGACTTTGGCATTTTGATTTTTTTTAAATTTTCTTAAACAAATTCTGAACATTTAAATTTTTTCTAGATACGTTTGAAACTGAACTGTTTAATATATTGATGTCAAAAAAATTATTATCAGAAGCATGTTACTGTTGTTTTTTTTTGGCATCTGGTATCTATGGTTGATAGAATCATCAGTACATTTAAATAAATGATATAATTATATATAAGAAATTTTTTTATGAACAATTCAAGTTATCGTAAATAGTCGTTGTCCTCAAATATAAACTTTTATGTAAATTGAATATTTCTCTGTATGACCTATAGATTTTTATCAAATAGAATATAATCAAGAATGAACATTTAAAAGATGATATTTCAAGAAACAAAAAGAAACGGTCCCTCTATTAAGATTTAAAAACATAAATAGAAACAACTATGGAAAGCTAAAAAAAATATATTTTCGATTGAATAAATATTCAGCTATATCCAGGAAATAGGACCAAGGGGTTGGCTAGATCTTCCTGATCTCTCAATCTTCATAATATTATGTATATAGTTAGTTAATTTATAGATATAAATGACATCCAAAGGAATTTGGATAAACTTTTGTCTTCTAAGTTTATGAAGGGCTCAAAGTGCTAGTTTGATAATCAAAATTTAAAGTGAAAAGCTACCGCAGACCGTTGAAAAAACAATAAGACCCCCTGGTTTTTTAAATATCCGCAAAATTAAATACTATTGTAGACTTTGTATATATACAGATGCTATTAAAAGGATTTCCCAGAAAAAATGTCATCTTCGATATGTACAGATGGCTTAAAGTGTCACTTTTTAAATAGAAATCGTCAAAAATTTAGGTGAAAGGGCCGAGGGCATTTGCTGGATCTTCCTGATCTCTCAATATATATAATGTTATGTGTATAATTAGTTAATATATATATATATAAATGACATCAAAAAGAATTTGGGTAAACTTTTCGTCTTCTACATGTAAGTTTATGGAGGGCTCAAAGTGCCAGTTTGATATTCAAAATTTATAGTGAATAATTACCGGAGACCGCTGAAAAAACAGTGAAACCCCCTAGTTGTTCAATATCCGCAAAATTGAATACTATTCTAGACTTTGTATATATACAGATGCTATTAAAAGGATTTTCCAGAAAAAAATGTCATCTTCGATGTGTACGACGGTTTAAAGTGTCACTTTTCAAATAAAAATCGTCAAAAATTAGGTGAAAGGGCACAGGCCGGTGGCTAGATCTTCCTGATCTCTCAATCTTCATAATATTATGTTTATAGTTAGTTAATATATAGATATAAATGACATCAAAAGGAATTTGGGTAAATTTGTCGTCTTCTAAGTTGACGGAGGGCTCAAAGTGCCGGTTTGATATTCAAAATTTATAGCGAAAAATGATATGATGATACTTCACCGCTGAAGTTAGTGATTAAATAAAATGTCATCATGGGGTTGCAATTATCTGCCTAATTCTGTTTAAGTATTTATTTGAAATGTCTAACAATTCTCACCCGGCTACCATTCAAACATTCGATTAACAAAAACAGACAAGATATTTTAAGGAGCCTGTATCGATCAGCTGATATTTTTACGTTTAAATGATTCAAAGTAATAGAAATATTTGCGTTGTGCCAACATATTGTATAGCATTTTGCCTGGTCACTTTTCCATATATCCATTTTAGATTGGAAGATAAACAGCAAATCATATGGGTTAAAATTGTGACTTAGGTGCAAAATTAAACGTAAGCTAAAGTAAGAAATCACTTTCGTTCTGATTGCGGACGTTAAATCAAATTATCCGCTTATGGAGATTGCAACATACTCTCTCTGTTAAATAACACAATACAACGTTCTGATGATGCATCAAGGGAAGATTTTTGTTTTATCCAACACACCTAAATTTTCTTCTTGGAGCTGTCATCTCGTCCATCGCCCAAACTACCTTGCCTCAACTCCGTTATTGTTATACTTGTATAGTTGTTCCCATTCAACAAATATATAAAATATCTGTCACTGGCCTTTAACAAGCACCAACAATCTTATCGTATCTTAATTGTACAATACAGTTTAAACAAATACGTACCACATTTTAAAGGCAACGGAACTTCAAAAGATGTTTCATCTGTAGGGACTGTTAAAAAAAAGTTGTAATGCTTTCTCTCAAGATCAAACATCGTATCATATTACTAATTATCAATATCAAAACTTAAAAATTAACAAATTCAATTTTTTTTTAGTCAGATTAAAGTTTAATTAAAGGTGACAACTGTTTCTGTATAAGACCCTTTTACTTTATGGATACATAAGGTTGCTTGATTATATGCATTTTATGTAAATAAATAATTTTGATATGGTTTGTTTGAGTCATTGGATTACTCTCACTAAAAGGTAACTAAATTCTGTAATGACCCTGTTTTTTTCTTATTTGTATGAATTCTGTCCTTACATTTTTCAAAGTATTAGTAAATAGAATCTTAACCTATTGAATTTGTGTTAACATATTTTTACATTATGACTTTGGCATTTTGATTTTTTTTAAATTTTCTTAAACAAATTCTGAACATTTAAATTTTTTCTAGATACGTTTGAAACTGAACTGTTTAATATATTGATGTCAAACAAATTATTATCAGAAGCATGTTACTGTTGTTTTTTTTTTTGGCATCTGGTATCTATGGTTGATAGAATCATCAGTACATTTAAATAAATGATATAAAGTGTGTTGACCATTCATTCATTTTTGAGGTGGAAGTGGATGAGTCGTAGTACTTATGTTGTATCGATTTCTGCTGTTCTTCCTCATAGCCATGTTGAAACAGTCTTTGCCAAGGGAGCACACACATGTACAAGCACGAGCGTCACTCATCTATTGGAACATGTAAATGTTCAGCGACGAAGAGATTTCAGATCACCGATATGGAATCTAATTATTCATTACTTGTTTGACATTTTTTAAAGAAAAAAAACTTAACTGTGAAATTTGTCAATACAATAAAGCAAGTGATTATCATTACGAGGTTGAAATTATCGGTCTATTTCGATTTTAAGTGTTTATTTGAAATGTCATAGAATTCTCACCTACTACCCTTGATAGTTGTCTATATATCAATTATAGATTGGTAGATAAGTAACAGAATTATTAGTCAAAATTGTTATTTAGGTCCAACAACTTCTATATGTATATGGAGTAGTTTAACGATGTCATTTATATTCACTAATTTGTAGGTCTTTGTTACATGATATGTTTTCCTGTTCAAAGTAGTTTTCTTTCTTTATTTTTACGAAATTATACAGCTTAAACACAAAAGGGTAAACAAGTAACTTGAGGACTCAACTCTTATAAGAATTAAGCTGCGGTTTGGGTTGTTTCAAATCTCATTTAGCTGATAAATTTTACTGATTTCATTTTTTCTGAATATCTCTTTTGTTCTCATTGAAATCACATAAAATTGATAAAATTTTCACTCAAAGGCAGTATTTGCTATAATTATTATAGTATATACAATGTATTAGTAGTTGGATGACCTTTGCGGCCATGTGACTTTTTTAAGGTATTTTTTTCTGATCTTTTTGTTCCTTCAGGGACAATTACACCAATGAAGAGTAAATTGTAATTTAGGCAAAATTGATTTATTTGTAGATCTTTTTTACTTTGCTGGTCATTTGCACTATTACATGTTCCCTAATCTAAACGTTCTCAAGATAACAGCTAAAGCTGAAGAGTTTGCTATATAAATGACATTTCAGGGGAAAAACACAAATACAGTTATTTCATTTTTATAAAAATTATTAGGTAGATAAACCTTTAAACTGCTTATTATTTGTATTATGTCAGTTTTACGCATACTGATTTATTATTTTAGTAATGAGTGAACAACTGCGGTTTTGCCCTAAAAGTCAATTTTGAACAATATCGGCCATGTGTGTTGCTGGATCAAGTCACTGTATATTCGTTTTAATCTAGATTCCCTAAGTATCGATATCATTTGGTTGGTCACATATGGTCAAGTAATGTCAGAGACGATGATTTTAATTTTAAGTTAACGATGACAGAAATCGACCAGTTGAACTAACAACAGTACCTGTTCATATATATTTTGCAGAGTATGAATCTCTATTTTTGGTCGTCCCTATTATCGATTTATTGTTACAAATTAATACAATGTTGCTTCGGAAGACAAGTGCTGTTGACGCGCGGAATCAATATGTTGAAATTAAAAAGGTTGAATAATAGAAAAAAAATTAGAGTACACCACACAGTTAGCCTATTTGCCAGATAAAAAAAGTATAACAAAAATACCGAACGCAAAAGTAATATCAACAAGAGGAATCCAATAAAAACTGACAAAATTAAACATTATCAACAAACGGAACTAGTGAAAAACAAACGTCATTTGCCTGACAAAAAACGAAATTTAAGTTACAGAAGCCGCATCTAATTTAATTTATCGTCAGAAGTTTTGTACGGCGATTACTTTTTTTCTAGTCAGTCATACTAGAAAACCAGGGTATAGTTATCTTTGATACTCTTGTTACATCTTTTTTTTAATTATTACATGGCTATGTTATAAAGGCTCCTACGTTTTAATATTGTATTTATATTGTGTCATAGGTCAAACTTATTCGTTCAGTATATGTTTGCTTGTTTCTGTTTAAATGTCTATTTGATAAGACAGTGTGTCTTTTTATGTTGTAATGTTACATCACTGTCTCAGGTTAGGGTGAAGGGTTGGCGCCTGTTAAAACGTTAAAACCGCATGCATTTTTATGCATCTTTCCTAAGTCATGAGCCTGTTGTTCAGTGGTTGTAGTTTGTTGGTGTGGTTCATAGGTGTTTCTTGTTTCTCGTTTTTTATATAGATAAGACCTGTTTCCCTGTTTGAATTGTTTTACACTTGTTATTTCGGAGTGCTTTATATCTTGCTTTTCGGTGTGAGCCAAGGCTCCCTGTTGAAAGCCGTACTTTGACGTTTTGTTCATTGTGACTTGGATGGAGAGTTGTCTCATTGACACTCATACCACAACTTCTTATTTATATAGACTCCACCCTGAAGGATGGCATCACGTTCCCATATATTTTTATTATTATTTCTTTCAAGTGTAACATTTTAATACAAAAATAACCTATGAAATTTTGAAATATATAACCCCTGAAGAAGACCATATAATGTATGTTTAAACGAACTGATTTAAAAAAGTAACAGTTTTGTATAGTCATGATACTTGTTTATTTCTTTTGACAAAAATGGAAAATACATAGGTTATTTTGCTGGTTTTTTGTTTTGATGATCATGAAAAACAAAAAATCGAAAATGTATACAATACACTTCATTACGTTCATCTGAAATAATACAGTCACCAATAAAAATGTTAGGTCCCTCAACTGTCAGTTATGAAACACTACAAATCCAACCATTGTCAGGTAATTTTATCCCTTAATAGGCTAATCATATTATCAGGGCATTTTCAATTTCAGAAGTTTTCCAATACAATTTCTACCTCGCGAGATACGTTAAAAGTATTGGAGAGAAGTAATCAACATAATGGTTGTTTTATTGGCATTATGATACAATATAAACCAGTCAGCCGGCATAGAATAAGTACCCATCAATATACATGTAGTGCAGGGAAAAAATCACCAGCACATTAAATCCCACCTTGCCACATATTGCGACCGTAGGAAGGCTTAAGATTTCACTGGGGAAGGAACAAGACGTTTTCTGTTGTTGATTTGCAAATCTAATATTGTTGTGCTAATCTAATGGAAGAAATAATTGTCAATTGTGGTGTGAGATTAATGTTTAAATAACTTCTTAAAGAAAAATTAGCTAAATTGGTGTCATTTGCTTGTTGTTAACAAGAGTTATACTTTAAAAAGAAATATTGGAAACGTTTGTGAGAGGATATCAATTTACAAGTGTATTCGAAAGTCAACTTTGCATAATTTACGCTAATATCTTTATGTTTCATATTTTTAACCACATTTTGATGTATTTGATATCACTCCTAAACGAATTTTTTTCTTAGCCTAGTATTACCATACGTTATCCGATGACAACTGGTTGTAAATGTGTTAAAGGACATTTATTTCGGAATAGCAGATTATCTTCATCAGTTTTGATTTGTTTTCATTTTGTTTCCTGAACCATGTTACATTGTAAGGAAGGACATATTTACCTTTCAAGTCTTCTATATTTTTACACGCACCTACTTCTGTAAATGGAAAAAGACAGTACGAAAACTCATCGAATATAACAGAGTACCAAACAGCCTGTAAGGTTAAAATCGGTAAAACAATTTTAGAAAGAAAGTGTTATAACCTTTTATGTTAATATGAAGACCTATTGAAAAAATGAAATGAATAGATGAGTTATTAGCATAAAGATATAAGCGATCACATAATGAAAAAAATCGTTTCTCGTCTTTATATAAATATAATTGCCTTAATTTTCTTGTGGCAGCTGTTATCCCGCACATCATTCTGTCAGCATTCCTTGCATAAACTACATTATTGTTTATTTGTTCGCGTCCAAAATATACAGAACAAAGCACTGTGGTTTAAGCAAACAACAGACGAACAATCGTAATTTTTACATTAAAGTATTACAAATACGTACCGTGTTTTGGAAGTAAACAAATGTTCTCTTTCCTTGATATTTTATCTTTAACGTCTGCTGAAAAAAAAGTTGTATTACTCAAATTCACGTACAGTATCACGAGTATTGAAGGCGATTGACATAAGCTAAAACTGATATAAGGGGTAAACAAGGACAGTTTCATGCGATACATGATTTACCCTTACCTGATTCCAAATTAAAGAATAGACTCAATGTCATATGGCGTTCAACATAAATGGCATTTGAAAACGGTGTTAATAGAATTCAAAACATTTCACAAATGAATTAGGAATATAATTTTTTACCAGCACTGCATCAACATGATGAATCAAAGTAAAGAATTAATGGTGCATTTGAAAATGTCTGTACTAAGTCAGGAATATGACAGTTGTAATCTATTCGTTTGATGTGTTTGCGATTTTAATTTTGCTATTTGATTAGGGACTTTCCGTTTTGAATTTTCCTCGGAGTTCGGTATTTTTTATTTTTAACTTTTTACCAAATCAAGCATCATCTGTAATACGTAGAATCAAAAAAAGTTAGTAAAAACGATTTTTAGAATACCTACTTCTATTTGCAGAACGTACACAAACATAAATTACTGATCCAAATATCAAAACGATAATTAGCACAGCAACACTTGTTCCTACCCATGCTCCAACGTTTTCTACAAATGAAAAATATTAGAAAATTGCACGTTTGTTATTTACAAACTTATTGCAATGGGTGTTTGTGAAGTAAATGATTCATAATATTCATTAAATTTAATAGCAAAATATTTTGTCTGCATCTATTAAATAGAGTCTTGTGCTCGTTTACATTGACATCCGTGATTTCTATCCAATGACAGGGAAAACTTCTATCAGAATCATTTTTTAGGATTTGCCTTCAACAGGACCTTTCAAACCCAAACAGTTCGAACATTAGTTTATACATTAATTTCTAAAATTGTCTAAACAAAATCTAACAATGCTTTCACTTAATGTTCTGTCAGATACATGCATTTATGTCCAACATATGATTCCGCTTATCAGAATTTAATTAAAAAAATAGTAATTCACATCCACCTTTTATGATGATATTACTTATTAAGCAAACAACTTATGAAAACTGAAAAGTTTCCTTCTTGCTTAAGGTTATGTGATACTATTTTTAAGTTATAACGTAATGAATTTTTAAAGATTGGTATCATTGTATATTTTGTACCACGACTGATGTGTTCCTTTTTCTAATTTTATTAATTTTTTTTGGGGGTAAATATGCTATATTGATAACATACCGTTATTAGTTAGTCACCCAATTAATCTGCTTATTATGCAGTAAATGACGAAAATGTTCCCAAATAAAAGATTGATTTTGACGTGTTGACTCATAATGAAATTTATTAGTTTGCTTAAGAAATCAGTATAAGTATTCCCTCCTTTAAAATATTTAATGTATTCCGGTATTGTACTACAGGAGTAGAATTGCCTTCGTAATAAACAACGTCGGCGAAAAAAATAACAGTTTAGAAACTTTTTATAAAATCTTTCAAAAAACCTTTGCTAAAGAGATAAAATTGCGTATAAATAAAAGAAGATGGTTTACTGTAAAACATATAAGAATTGAATGCTTCTTTTTGTAAATTTTTTTTGCGTGCAAAAGCGTTGACCGAAGTAAATTTTGTATGAAGCGTGGACGCTTTTCATTCTAAAAATGTGCGCACGGTCAACGCTATACAACCCTATAAAATAACTTAAAAAAACAGTCAATACTTATATTTACATGTTTTTGCTAGAATCATGAAAACACGATTTCTATCAAGTTTTTCTTTTATTTACCTGTGCACTTTATTGTGGAAGCTCGTGTCATCATGAATGTAACATTTCATTTTTAAATGAAGGTTAATTTCAGAATGACGCGAGATTGCTGTTAGCAAATCAAAATAACGTATTGTAATGAAACATACATGTAATATAATTATTTGAATGTGACCTTTCTCATGTAATACATTTTTAAAACTAATATTCCAAATTAAATAATGAACTGTAAACTTATTTAGTATGTCACATGTATTTACCGATTGTGGCCTAACCACGATTGTGACATTTTGGCTAAATGTAGATTTACATTGCCGGTGATGCATGCACATCAGGAGACTATTATCCATTCGAAACACCTGGTTTTGCTCATTTGGTCATACGATTAACTCATTTATTCCCCTTGATTTGTATCTTCTTTATGGATTTGTGATATTTAAATAATGGTAAACTACTATAATTGCATCTAATTTACGTGTGTTCAACTTTGCCCCAGCACGAAAGAACATTAACGGGTGTAACACGGACACTTTTTATGAATAGAGTCAATCGTACATTTAGTGAGTTCATATGCAATTTATCGTACACCTTGTGACCCAATTACCTGTCTTTAAAGATATAATATATAGGAAAAGTGTTCTTTAAAATGATATTTATAAAAAGCAAATTATATCTCAGAATGCTTAAATGAAATAAAATGTCTACGACTTTACTGACTTAACCAACAAATGTGTCCATGAACAATCTTCAGTATGCTTAGTGCATATAGTAGTTAAACTGAAATCTTTTGTGTCGTCTAAGTTTAACCATACGGAAGATTTCCGCTGTCCTCTTCATTTTCAATGTATTTGTTCAAGTCGAATTGTGAAAGCGCAAAATCAGTTTCAGTGTCAAATAAACAATCACTTAATTAAGACATTGAAATGGTTAATAAAAATATATTGTGTAACGTCATCAATCCTTGGATTTACCCGAATATCACCTTTCTCAAATAAGCATGCAACTAAACTGAAACATTTGATATTCAAAAGATGTGAATCCAAAAATTCAAAACGAGACAAAACCATTATTTTTCATTACACTGTATTCTCAGTAAAAAAAGCTTTCTTTTAAGATTCATACGTTTGCTTTTTTTACTTCATATTTACGATTATCTAATAGATTTCTCTTTTTATTTTATATTTATACGTCGTTGAAATTTTTAAATCTTTAACATGCGTTATTCATATTTCTGGTATTTATCTCTTTTTTTTATTTGGTTTGGTTTTGTTTGTACGTATGTTTGTTTAGATTTTTCATCTTTTTGTTTTTGAATGGAGCGGTATACGTATATATAAACCGCTGTAGATACAATGGTACACAGACGAACATAGATAGAAGAACATATCATAGAGGTTTAGGCGCCCGCTAACATATTAAACCCCGCCACATTCTGTATGTGCCTGTCCCAAGTCAAGATCCTATGATTCAGTGGTTGTCGTTTGTTGCTGTGTTACATATTTGTTTTTCGTTCATTATTTTGTAAATAAGTTAGGCCGTTAGTTTTCTCGTTTGAATTGTTTTACATTTTTCATTTCGTGGCCTATTATAGCTGACTATGCGGTATGGGCTTTGCTCATTGTTGAAGGCCGTACGGTGACCTATAGTTGTTAATTTCTGTGTCATTTGGTCTCTTGTGAAGATTTGTCTCATTGGCAATCATACCACATCTTCTTTTTTATATATAGACATTATACAAGAGTATACAGGTACTTTTCTGGAGGATATACCAATAACGATGACCTATAGTTCTTAACTTCTATGTCATTTGGTCTCTGGTAGAGAGTTGTATCATTGGAAATTATACCACATCTGCTTATTCTTATAATAAATACAATAGAGATATGTAAATGTGTTTGTATGTTCAAAATGTGGAATGTATATTAGTAGGCAATTCCTCACCTATTCTTATAAGTTGGGGCGGGCAAAAAAAACTGCGTTTGGTCCCCACCCCAATACCTATTGGCATTTTTTTTTTATTATTGAAAATAAGAAAATGGTTAAGAAAGTGAACTCAACTAACTTTTAGACTAATAGACTGTTGTAAAAGAAACACAGTTTTGTTTCTGCTTGTCACTTTTAGAAGTTTGCCCTTTCCTTACTTTCAGTCTACTTCTACTTCACTGATATGTAACAGAGTAATCAGCAATAATTTTACTCGGACACAGCTTAAGAATTGAGAAGCACTAGTTTTTATACAAAATCTCTAATTTAACATCATATTGCATAAATCGGTCTTGGTCCTTTTCTTGTTTTATATTTTAAATTATGCAATCGTCTTTAAAATGCAAAATTTCTATTTAAATCATCGTACAATTGAGATTCAAAACAAAAGTAACAAACAAAACGGGTAAAAAAAAACAATCAATCATATTCATCAATCTTTTGCTGCTTTAAATGTCTCCATACCTTTGTTTACACTTTTCTGTGTTACTCCAGACCCTACAAAAAGATTAAAGTATTGAATATAATTTAAATGAATGTTGATATAATCCAATTCTATTTTCACAACAAATAGAATATATTACTTGACGAATGGAATGAAGGGAATGCGGTGTAGGGTATATACCAATGCGACAACCCAGTGCATGCTATACAAATGCAACTTACCAAACTTGAAAACAAATTTATCAAGAAAGTAAAGACAATTAGTCCTAAATTTCATGTTTTGGGAAAGGGAATTAACTGTGTTTTGTTCAAACTATTCTATGATTATGAGTATTAAATAAAAACGTAGAGTATCAAAACACCCGTTGAAATATACCATGCAAATCCTTCCTAGCCAGCCTAGACTAAAACTGATTTCATGATTATAATTATCATAATTCTGGTCGGAGAATAGAAAATTCAGTTATACTGTATATACCAATGCCTTCACTAAATAAAAGTCAGATTAGACAAAAAATGTAAAAACAAAACACATTTTATCTACTTAAGAAAAAAATTGAACTTTAGAAGGCTTGTATTAGACGTGTTAGTAAGGGGATTTAAATACTGCTATCATAGTGTTAAGTAACAATATCTAGACAAGACTTATTTAAGTGTCGCATTTCTCAAAATTCATTGCATTGCGAGGTATCCATGCGGAGTAAAGTTAACCTCTGTGGTGTGTTTGGTACAATATAACGAACAGTTAACATCGATTGTAAGACGTGCATGGGCCTTTCATAGATATTTACATATGCATTTGATTTTGTTTAATTTGTTTGATTTAGGAATAAAAACAAACTTAAATTTGTCCTTCCATAAATTCAGCACACAATTCACAATCTTGATTCAATTCGTGTCATGGATGTCTCCACAAGGATCCTACAATCCTATTTGGTATTTCTCCACAACAGCCGAAAAATGCATGTTGCTAAAAAAAAGGAAATGTATCTTTCCCGTGCCACACTCCATTTCTTCATTCAGAGACCCCTTTGAAAGTATAACACAACTTTCAACAGTATTTCAGTTATATCTTTGTGTTCAGTTCACTTGGTTGAGGAAACCGCAAAACAAAGAAAAAACACCGACCCTTCACAGAAACACTTTGCCGGAATCGTGCCTGAATGTGGTAGTTCTTTAAAACTAAATTTGATAACCTCCTTTGTACGAAAACATTACTGATAAAAGTTAATAGAAAAAAAAAGTCAAGGACAATGTAAAATGATGATAAATTATTCAAACATATTAACGGGTTTTTAATGTATGGTTCTTTTTTCAAAATTACATTTGATTGCAAGAGTGACATTTCTGAATAAAAAGAAAATAGAGATAGTAAAATGAACAGGAAAAAACAATATATTTCCCATCGAAGATTAAAAACCTATCAATTCGGATATTGGAACCTGATTTTGCAGAAATGGTACTTCTAAAATTCCTCTTTCAGATTTATTATACACGACACCACAGACAAGCCGAACTGACAGATGACAACGTTTCTGAAATATGAACAAACAAGAAAACATGGTTAAAATGCATATTGATTGAGGAATTATGATGGAAGTCGTCACCAAGACGACCATTCCTTTTCTAATTTGTTAAACTGCATGATATTCGTTTAAAAGGTGTAAAATGTCCGTCTTTGACCTGATAACCAATTCCAAATATAGATATGAAAATTATATTGGGTTCAATGGAAAATATTTACTGAGGGGATGTAAATACCTTCTAATCCATATGGGAATGAATAGTTTGTTTGTGATTTAATTGAATTGACCGGCCAACAAAGAAAATAAAAAGCTATTATTCCATTCTGTAGTTTTATTTGTTTTTTTTTTTGATAGAATTTAAAGCTATTATCTATTCTAGAAACATTTCGTACACTTATAAAATAACATGTGGTATGGTTGTCATTGAGAAAACTACGCACAAGAGACTAAATGACGTAGATGTTTGTTTTAGGTCATCGTATGGCTTTTAAAAATGACCCATACCTAGCAATCTATTAAATTCCACGAAATGAAAAGCACATTTTAAATAAATATCAAATACACAAATATATTAAAATATTTTTTATTGAAACCTTCAATTAAAATATCGAACTAGGATGTGATTTTATTGCATATATTTTTTGATTTATGAATTTTGATCTTTTGAGGATTTTCTTGTAGCCGTTCAAAATCGTGTTGTAATCAAATAGTAAGAAAAGCGGGAACAACGATCTTAATATTTGTCGATCACTACTATAAACAAAACAATATTATGATTTTGATAATGCTAATATAAATATATGTAGATCCCGATCTTCCTTTTGGCTAGATCCTCCTCTGCTTATTATGAAATATAATGATATTATTTGAATGTTAACTAATCATCTCATCAGTATCAAACATACCCACATATGTAACTATAATGAATAATTATATGGGCTTCTTAGGATGATTCCAACGATAGCCTGTAATAGTTTTCGTACCTAACATCAGCGCTAGAAATTATATTGACTCTTCTTACACGTCTAATAAAATGACGATTTTAATTTCATTGTAGTCTAGTCATTAATTGTATGTAAAAAAACATAATTATGTTTAAAACTTTCCGAGCAATTTGATCTCAAGTACGATACAATGAAACTCTGTCTTGATGTCAAATATATGTAAAATGATAAGTAACTTTTATACAACTTTGTAAGTAATATTTACCTGTACTATTTTCATTGGCTAAGAAAGACATGTCATCTAATTTAGGCTTAACTATTACAGTTGTGCGTGTTTTCATATCTACCAAATCTGGAAATTTATACATATTATATGTATTGACTGCAGAAAGCAACCAACTAGCATACTTAATAGAATTTGAATCGTTCGACATTGCCAGCGAAGCTGGAAAATGTTAAAAAATGTAATGATTTGTTCAACGATACTGATAAAATAAAATGATATATACGAATAAGATAAAAAATAAATACTGTCGTATCAAATTGCCTTCGTCGGTGTAAATCGTTTTTCCAAAGAAAATGATATATATCCAGTCTCGCCTTATGGCGTTTTCTTTTTTGTTTTCTGGATTGGTATTTTCAAAATGAATTTACCAGTTCATAACATAAGAAAAACAGTATTGCATTTTGTATATCTTGAGGCATATATATATATATATATATATATATAAAACGAGACTTTGCGGTGATTTTTACAACATGTTTTATATGGTAAATTGTCCATTCATTATGTAGCAACATTTTAGCTTCAGCTGTAAATCTCAAAGTTGATAGATTAATTCATGGTTTGTGTTTTCTATTCCTGTTTCCTTGATAAAGGGTTTCTACTGATAAAGAAACAATGCGGTATCGGGTTTTAATGGAAAGTTGAATTAGTGTGTCCCATTTGGTTTGTTCGAAATCAAGATTTGGTTGACCGTTGTGTAATAATTATGTCATTTATGATCAAATATGAACATTTGTTATTTATACAACTTTGTACTTTTTTCCCCGAATTCAACTTTTATCTGGATGTTTAATTGTTTTGAGCAAAAAAAAGTATCAGATTGGTTCTTTACGAGCATACCACTCGGTACGCTTGAGGCAACCGTTTGCTCGTGCGAAATACTTAGAACTATAAAATACATACAGTTAGTATCTTAAAGGGGCATTGGATACGAATAAGACAAACAAATAAAATATGATTTTTTGGGTTACAACCATTCACAAAAGCGGCACAAAAAATAATATTTCGCTTTTATCAGTTAGTTTGGTTCAATTCCGTCAAAATAAGCAAATAAAAAAAATCCCATCGCTGATGTATTATTGACTTGCAAGGCCTCATTTGAATCCATATTCATTCAACCTTTAATTTTGACCTTAGAGGAGATCGGTTGCGCATGTATTCATAAGGTGGTTCATTCATTAAAAAAATTAAAATGTCAGCATTAAAAATCGAAAAAAGGGAGATACAAGGAAAACCCATTTCGTGTACTGATCCGGCCGACAAAATCATTCTTAAGACTATTAGATACATATATTGCAACCTATAACATGAAATCAAACAGAACTATACATGTCGTCTTTTACTTTTGCACGTACTTGCCTGTCTACATGTATTTATATTTATATTGTTATCAAGTTATAAGACCGTCGGCAGGTTATATCGATGGATACTTAGATGTCGTAAAGTCTAAAAATACGCACGAAAATAACAATTCAATTCATTATTACTTGTTCCTTTCGGAATTTTGTAATTGGAATATATGGTTTAGTATGCTGAAAAACAAATTTGAGAATTTGGGTCAAATCGGTGAACATGAATTTAACAATTAATGCTCTTTTTTTTTTAAATCTTTGTAATATTCCTAGTTAAACAAAAACATTATTCTAATACTTAAAAGGATTTAATTTAAAACAAGGATACGGTTCTAAGTCTAAATTAAATTTTTAAGAATTTTAACGAGTGGTAAAGGACAAAAGACGGCTTAATACATGTCTTTCATCAACGTGCAATTCTTGGGAGAGTTTCAAGACTTACAAAAAAAAACATTGTAACAAATAAAATAAAAATAAATTGGATTAAAATTATCAAAATTTGTATTCATCATTATATCATCTAGGTACACGTCATGAAATCAATTTAAATTTTCCTGTTTAATCTGATACCTTGTCATTACAACAACCTTTCATATTGTTGATATATTGTCTGGATTGGATTTCATTTTTGTTTTTGCTGACAAAATATTTTCATGTTCCAAGTGAAGAACCTCGTAACTAGTTGTCGTATGCAATAACTGAATACTCTCCTCGTTATTTGAGAAAATCTACTTAATTAATTATACGACTGCACGTGCTGTAGCTCTATTTATATTTATATTTATGTTTGTATCTGGTCATATGACTGTCAACAGTCTTCGGAGATCACCTCGATGGTTAATCAGATGGCGTCGTGTCTGAATACGTACGAAATGCTGATACATTGTAACAAGTCCATACATTGTTTTTGTTTCTTTTGGACATTTTGTAATTTTGGTATACGTTTTAGTATATTATAACTCAAATATAAGAATTTGGGTCAAAAGATGAACATGAAATGGACAGCTTACGTCCCTATAAAAGCACAAATATAACAGAAAGGACGATCCTCGCCATTCTCTTATTGTCCTTTATATTTTCTTAATTTTACAGAGCATGCATTTCATCTCTTTACGCTAAAATCAAAGCGTAAACCATCGGATAAATGAAGTTTTCGATGTGAAAGATATAAGCATCTAGGAAAAGGATCTCCATAATAATTCTTACCACTGCCGTTGAAAAACAGTGTTGCATGCTTTGAAAATTTTGATGATTTTCCAGAGTCCTTAAATATCATTTCACATGAGTAATACGTAGGAGTACGGTCATCGGTAAGATTAAAGGTGCGTGTAAAGGAGTTTACTGAACAGCTGCAGGTAACATCTTCACGACACTGCCCATTAAAATGATAACACTTGTGTGACGCTACGTTGTATCTAACACTATCAACTGATCGATTGTCTATCAGAAACTCTGCAATATATCGGTCAGGCTCTATACATGAAAAACAAACCAATTGTACTGCGCTATATATCCCTGATATTTTCACAGTTTTGCCTTTGATTTGCATATCTGTGCTATCAATTATACCTAAAACAAAATTAATACTTTAGTCAACGGTGTAACTTGATGTAGCATTGAAAATAACTTTGAAGTTCGTCTATTTGGAGCTCTTTTTTCTGAGCGGTTAACTATACTTTTATGAAGATTGCTACATGTACCTATGGAATCAAGAAATGAAACTGCTTTTGCTATTCTGCATACGTTTGGTAATAAATCTCCTAAAGTGATATACATCACCGGCTTTTAAGTTTGTGGGTACAGCTACATCCAGAAATCGCGTCGGAGTCATGAAATGTATTATTTTCATTTTATAATTAATAACAGTATATACAGTTTGGCGAAATCGGTATCTTATATTTACTGTAATTAACAAATAGATAATAATAAATCAATTCTCCTAATATATTTGTTAATGCACAAACTTTAGACACCTTAATTTCCTTTATCGAAATTGCGTAACACCAGCTCACTTAAGGAATCTGTAAAGAAATGTTATTAAAAGCGCCATGATTAATGTCAATATCGCATTTTGGAAAATTATTTTAATATATCAGTTACAACTGGGTGTGGTTTTGTATTTGAACACCCTAGTCATCAATTGGAAACGGCTGTCCTGAAAGGGAATGTCTACCTTTTTGACGGAAGAAGTCAAGAAAAACAGTTTGCTTTATCCTTGAGGTGAAGGAAATCTGAAAGTGGTTAGATGTACTAATATAGAAAACAAAATTACAATTTGTTTTCTCTATACAACTGCTAATTCACCTTTCCTCGCACGTTTGATAAGTACATGTTAATCCAGGTAGTTTTTAATTTTCATAAGGAGAACATCACCCTGAGGGAGAACACTTCCAGTTTTCACTTTAAACAAAGAAGACGTTATTTCGTAACCAAACAACAATCTGATACATTTGAAGTTTTTGGTCACGCACCAGTTGATGATTGGTATTCAAACACTTTGTAAAAGGAACTATTATCAGATTACTTGTTTTGGAATGGATTGACAGTCATATTAACTGCAAAAAACCTAGAGGTGTGTCGGGCTTTTATCAATACCTTAAAATATACCATTATAGATAAACAGACACCTGTGCCTTTTAAAGCATGTTCTTTCTGTTTGTTATCTTTTGCGATGTGTGTAGAATAGATGGTTTATAAATTAAACTGATATATATACATATATAAGGTGAATGTTGTTTCGATTCTACAAGATCAAAGAAGATGTGCTTTAAAGGTCGTCCGCCTCATTTGTCGAATAGTGTTATTTTCTTTAAGGGATTCCTAATACGGCCTTCTAATAATACGAAAAAATTGAATTCAAAATAAATAAAGAAGATGTGGTATGATTCATAACTCCCTACAAGAGACCAATAAGGTAGACGTGACCAACTATAAGTCATCGTACGGCTTTCACCTGTTTATCTGCTAAAGCTGTAACGAGTTACTTTTGTTGTCTGTTATTTATAATGGATGTGTGTGTGAGTTGCTTTAAATACAGATAAATATATAGTAATTAGCAATATACTGAAATAAATGTTGCCTTTTCAATACCTTTCGACTTTGAAACTTCCGTTGTATACATCGAACGTCCTTGCCTGCATGTCCAAGTTCCATTAATTGTATAAGCGTCAGTCGTTAATATTGTAAGTACAGCAGTATACCTGGATATGTTTACATGTGAAGTTAGGCCATCAAGTGAATAGGTACAATTGTAAGCTGAACCATTTAAACTACAAACAACTTGTTCGTTGTTGAATTTATCAAGAAATGACACTGATTTTGATGAATCATTTAATCTACAGATAAGATGTAGAGCATCATCGTCAATTTGCCATGTCAGACAAGGTTGGCTGTTGTATGTCAATCCTAAAATATTATAAATGTATGTATGAAATGCAGGTTTTTTGGAGATTGAGTCTTATCTTTAAAAAAAAGTTTTTAAATAAAATGTTTATTAAGAAAAAAACAAAATTTTCAGAGCAAATTATACGACCCTTACCTTAGCCCCGATCTACATTTCATTTCTTGAATAAACCTGTGAATTAATAAACATAGTCTAGTTTTGACCATCGTGTAAACTCCATTTGGAATTTTACAAACATAAATTTTCGAAAATACCCGAGGTACGGTTCAAATTTACTTCTTTCTATGTAATCAATAAAAGTAAATAAGGAGGTCAGGTTAATGATCTTCTTTTACCCTCAAACCAGCACAATGATTCATGTTAGTTGTTTCTTTGAATTGTTTTTGACTAAAGCAACCTTCAGAACAAATTGAAAACAAATCTACCACGATTACAATTGTTTCCCTGCCCAGCATTTGCCAAATTACTATGCAAATTGGAAATGTTAGTATACCTCAATAATATAGCAACCTGACATAAAAAATAATCATGACATCGAAACAGCAACTCTATTCACCAAATATTCATACATTCATTTTTATATAATTATATGTCAAATGTATGGCTCTTCTTCCTACTAAAATTAGAAGGGGAAATAATTTATCATATATTTTATTTAATTTTACTTTGAATGCGTCACACAAACTATTATATATATGAGATATGATTGTTGGAAACAAATATAACTAATTTACCGAACTCCAAGGTAAATTCAAAAAGAGAAAGTCCATAAAAACTGAATAAATCAATCAACAAAACGAGTAAAAAGCAACTGCCGTATCCTGACTTGAGTACACGCATTTTTGGAGACAATGGTGTTAAACCTGGTTTTATAGCTAGCTAAACCTCTTACTTGTATGACAATGGTTATATTGCCTAAATTGTTTGAGCAACCCAAACAGACATAATAAGTAAATGTGACAATAATGTAGAGTCAGTTCAATGTTGAAGTGATTTTGACCAATTATGATCAAATAGAGAAAACCTATTTAAAAGCATATATTGTATTTAGCAAAACCTTTTAGAATTTTCGGTCCTCGATTTTCTTCAACTTTATTTGGCCTTTTTTAATCTTTTTGACTCGAGCGTCAGCGATGAGGCTTTTGAAGTCAAAACACGCGTCTGGCGTAATGATATTGATTTAGGTACCTGACGAGTTTGTATTATAAAACTAAAAGTGAATTCTCAAAACTGGAAGAAGCTGATGAGTTCCAAATTTTCAAAGAAAGAACTGCAAACTATTAATTTTTTTTAATGAAGGCTTTCTATGTAATTTAAATTTTTATGCATATCTGTATAAATTATGTATCAACATCTGAGATGAAAAGACATTCAATTGTTCTGTGCACTTAGTCTATTAGTTTTTAATTGTTATTTGTTTTGGAAATAAGTACTTACACGATGGGTCAAGCCATTCCCAACTGGTTTTTATCATTTGTTCTTATGTTGTGATGTAACCCCAATGTCCAGTGTTAGTGGGAGAGTTGAACACTCACAACATGTTAAACCTTCATACATTCTTTATGTGCCTATATCAAGCCAGGAACCTGTAGTCTCGTGGTTAATGTAAATTGAAGCCTGTCATATTTGTTTTCTTACATTATTGCAGTAAAGTATAAATCAGGTCGTTTTTTTTCTGTTTTAACCTTTTTTACATTTTGTCGAACCGGAGCTTTTTACAAGTTACTATGGGGCTTTGCTCATTTCTAAAAGCCGGACTTGTAATTGATCACGTATTTGTAATTTGAATATGGACAATGTCTTACCAAAGAGTTTTCTGTGATGCTGGTACATATGATATACTATTGAGTTTGTCTGTATAGGTTTTAATGGTCATTCATATTAACTTTCCTTAATTTGCTAAGTTTACTCTTAGTAGGTGTAATCATTATTATCAAGTAAACCTTTGAAATGGTAAGAATTTCATGTGAACAAATTCATTTATATATATTTACAATTTGTCTTTGTACGTGTAAGGGTATTTTGTCTGTTCCTCTGTTTTTGATATGTTTCAGTAGGATACTGTTTGAGTTATGTTTTATTTAATATTTTAGATTTTAATTTCCATTTTGTATTTTGTGTTTCGTTTTGTTTATTTTTTTGTTTTTTTGTTTTGTATATGCTTGTTTATAGAAATCTTACCTACTAAGCTGTATAACACGAAACACACACATTGTACACCAATCATACATGACCTGTAAATAAAATCATGTTTTAGGTTATACAAGCCAACTAGATATCGAAGTAGAAACAAATGAAAATAATAGAATTGTACATTCTTTTATGAAGTTTTTTGTTTCCATCTGATCGAGATCAAAATTGGGAGGGTTGATATCTTACAAAACTAGCATAACCCCGGCGAATGTGCATGTGCATTTTAAAAATGTAAAACATTGAAAGCTATTGACGTTAGCTGTATTTGAATTTTGTTACTAAATGGGGAATCAGTATTGATTGCAGATTTTTAGAAGTCTCCTTTTCATGTAAGTTAGCTTTTTTACTTGCGGCAATGTAGAGGTTGACATATTGTATGAAAACCTGTCCGATATTCAAGACTGTATGTTGACCCCGAGATATCATTAATTTATTGTTGTGGTATTGTTGCTTAACTGATATATATCTAACCTCGCCTTTGTTCGAAGTATTCCCAGTTTTAAATGTGAAAATAAAACCCAACAAATGATCGCAACATAGACACTAATATATCTCCCATGGTTTGGTATCTATAAAGGCAATTATTTGACGTTCATCATAGCATCATGATTTACATCTCAAAACATTTTGATCCGGTGGTAGTGTTTGAAGAAATAGTCGTAAAAATGGTAGCCAGTCGACCATCCGGGAAGGTTGAGAAAAAAATAATGGACGTACATTATGTTCGTATATCTCATTAGTATTTTACGACCTTCAGCCTTAAGATAGTTTGAGATGCACGTCAAATGATTGCCTTTTTTGTAAACTACCAGAACCGTAATTGATACATTTTATAAGACCTATGCATCAAACAAACATCTTTAGACCAGAGGTGGTAGCGTGTGAAGGAATAGTCGTAAACATGGCCGGCAATCTTTATGAACTTTGAGAAAAAATATTGAAAAAAATTGAACTGCCTCATCCCATTAATTGAATTTCATCACGCATTTACTTGTAACTACTTATCTGTAAAACCTAAGAGGTTCATCTCGAAATATTTTTGAGATAGAGTTGGTAACATAATTTGACAGATGGACAGACAGAAAGAGGGATGGACAGATATATAGAAGTGTAGTATCGGAAGGTATTAAGTCAAACCATCTTAGGAAGAATTACCGGAAGTACCCACAATCCCCCTCTTTGGACGAATGGATACTACGAAGCAGACGCTCAAGTTACCACAGAGGGCCATCCAAAAGCATCAATCAGTACGGATATGTACTAAACCACAGAGATTCAGACGCGACAATTATAGCATTGGCGCTGCAAGCAGCCTTTGGTAAAATCTTTAACCAGAAAGGTCCATTTTCTGACCAAATTAAAAATGGAAGGGACCACAACAGCAGTCGACATTTGATATTGGAGAACCCTGAAACGTCACTAATTTCCAGTGTTTGGCTACTCTTAGTTTTTCTGTGGAAGTAATTAACGAGTTTTGTGGGTTCAATAGGGTTCAGTTTGTACTTCGGGGCAGTGTTTCAGTCACGTAGTTGTTTTTTATCCAGGTATCACTTTTAAAACGGTTCGAAATTCGTAGAGCCCTTGTAGGGAGAGGTGTGAAACCCGTGTGACTGATCCTTGGTCTTGGAATTTAGCAGCCGATAATATTGTTACGATTTAGTAATCGTATGATTAAATTAATGGATCTCGTGTTGTCCGTAATTTATCGTAGTAATTTTATGAATCAGCTGTTTTATTTACGCTCTTACATCGCGGTTTTTACGATGGAATTTCAACTCGTACAGAATATTTACGGTTGGTTGGCAGGTACGTTTATGAACGTTGATGTGGGAATGTGTTTTCCTTTGTAACTTACTTATTTTCTTAATGTAATAACTTGTGTTTTAGCCGTAATCATCTAAATCCCAACAGTGCCATAATCTATTTACTCGAGCAGCCATATTAGCTGTGTATTGGCGGTTTATTACACGAGATTTCTTGTTTACATAATAAACGTTTTGATTGGTGGATCTACTGACCAAAAAATTATAAATAGACGGTTGATAAAACGAACTAGAGATCTAATCTCATTGTCTGCAAGAGAAGTCACAAATAAGCTAGTCATTATATTTTTATATTTAGTCAACCTTTTAAAATGTCTAAGCCACAGTCAACCTTAAGTCTTGTACGCAGGTTTTAAATGTTTAAAGAAAAACTAAACCTTCTACACATGGCTATTGATTGTTTTGCATAAGTCAACCTTCAACCTACGGGAAAGTCCCGTCAACCGTCGTTCCACTTAGTAAACCTTCTATCGTTATGATAATATGACAGAGTTTTTTTTTTAAATCTACCTTCATTTTAACAGAAAGAAATAAGATAAGTGAATATTTTATTAAATCAATCCATATAAGTATTTTATACTATCGGTAACGGAAAGTTGAAAAGTTCAACCTTCTACCAAATCAACCTACGGGAAGCAATCAACCTTCTTGTAATTTTAAGTCAATCTTCCTGAACTCTAAATTAGATAATAACGGCATGTTGTATATAAATATAAATGTATAGTTTGTGATGAATTGTAAATATTTAATTAATAGATGCTACATAAAGTACATCTGAAAGTTATACCTGACTTAGTTATTAATTCAACTTTATACCAACTCAAAGGATCCACGCAAATTATGTTCGATCAAGACTCTTATTCTAATTAATCTTATCCACTCGGTTTAAGGGGCGAAATCGTTACACTGGTGTCAGAAGTGGGATTCTTATAAACTTTGAATTTGGTGGTTGAAATTTTAATTTTAAAATTATATTGAAGAAGCTTTAGTATATTTGATTGATGTCAAACTGTTTCACTAAATTTTTATAAAATCTTAATTGAATTAGATAATTAACATTTTTATTGCATAATGGAGGATTCTGGAGAAGTAATTATAGCTATTAATCATTCTTTCCAAGAGGAAAATGATGGGGAAATAACCATTCCTTTAGATGAACAGAAGGTTGATAGTGTTGACTATGCAAGGCAGACAATAAGCCATGACAAAGAACAATATTTATTTGTTTATGAATTAAAAAACCTTTAAAGTTTATTCCATGACCAATTAGGGGAGATAACTAATGATTTCTCTAATTGCCAAAAAGAAGTTATCTGTGCTGTAAATCAGATAAAAAAGATTTTGAAGATGAAATTTCTTCTATTACGGGTCGTATAAGTCAATTTGAAGATGATGTACCTGAAAACAAGAAAAACATCACTACCATTTATAAAACGATGGAACAAAATAAAGATTTAGTTAATCTTACTAATCACATGAGTGACATTGTAAACACTGAAAACATATCAAAAGTGATATCAGGTTTTGGGCAAGCAGATACTGGTGCAAATAATCAGACAAATCAAAATACAGAAAAACAACAACAAAACACAGATAATATTTATTTATTTAATAAAGACAAAATGTGTAATATAAATCAAAATTATACCGTACTGGATAGACCTCTAGTTCTAAGATTGACCAATTCCCATACCCATTCACCCAAGTCTAGTAATGTAACCATGAAGCCACAGTTGTATGAGGGAGATGAAGATTTAAATGAATATTTAGCTCAATTTGAAATTTTAGCTGATATAAATGGTTGGAATTATGCAACCAAGTCATTATATTTGGCTGGTAATTTAAAAGGTGGAGCAAGAGCTCCGTTAAATGAACTAGATAAAGAGTCTAGGAAAGATTATGATAGTTTGGTTAAAGTTTTGGACAAAAGATATGGTTCAGCTGAAAAATCAGATTTATTTAGGGCAAAACTCCAGACCTGAATGAGATGGAAAGAAGAAAGTTTACCAGAGTTGGCTCAGTCATTTAAGAAATTGACTAGGGAAGCTTATCCAAGTGCCCCATCCTCAATAACTAGTGTATTAGCACTAGAGCATTTTATTGATGCTTTACCAGATGCTGAGCTGAGACTAAGACTTAGGGAATCTAACCCCAAATCTATACATGAAGCAGAAACACTAGCTGTAAGGCTAGAGACATTAAAATTAGCAGAAAGAGAAAAAGGGCGCATGGTTAGAAGGGAGATTCAGTCATACTGAGAATAATACAATTAATACAGAGTTGAACAATGACGAGGGGGGGAGATTTTAAATCATTTATGCACGATTTGTCTGATTTTAAGAAGGAACTGGTATCTTTAACTAGAGATATTAAGGGTATGACCCAAAATTAGAATAGGAAAAGACAAGGGGGAGATAATCAACAGAGAAATTATTAAAATGGTCAGAGAGGACATTATAATAACCAGAATAAGAATTTTGGTCAGGGGAACAGAAATTTTAACCAAAGAAATAATAATGTTGGTCAAATTAGGCAGAATCAACCTAATTTTTATCAACAGGGAAACCAGTTGAGGTCAGACTCAGGGGTCGGTACCAGACCAGGTCAGAATGGCCCAAATCGATGAAGATCAACGAATCTTTGGCAAATAATGAGGGCCTATTTGTAAGAGCTAAAATTAATGATAAATATTTAGCTTTTCTTGTTGAAACATGGACAAATGTTACTATTTTGAGTAAGAAATTTATTAATGAAATCAATCCCTCATTGCTTCCAAAAATTATTCCTGTGAATATTAATTTAATTACTGCTACTGGTGATAGTGCACCATTTATAGGACAAGTTGATGTTGAAATTTGTCTTGGAGATCATATTTATCACCACAATGTTTTAGTGGCTGATGTTTGCAATGAATGAATCATTGGTATGGATTTTCTTGTGACTAATTACTGTGTCTTACATGTATTAAGTCAAAATAAGTTGAAAATTAAAGGGGATATAATTCAATGTTTTCATTATGCAAGTAGTGCTAAATCTTGTTATAGAGTTGCTATACAAGAGACAGTAAATGTGTCTCCTTATTCAGAAATGATTGTTTCTGGGAAGTCAATTGAACCTATTTTTAGAGGTGTAGCTGGGTTAATAAAACCTTATGAAAAATTTATTGAGAAAATGGTTTATTGGTGGTAAGATCAATTGTACATCCAGAGATATATAAC